TTCAGATGGCCAGTAACTGTTTATACCAATTCTTTGATCTTAATCAACGTGTATATATTTGGTTTTTCCATTCTATTCAAATAAATTTACCTTACCTATTACTACGTAATAAGTGTTTAAACTTACTAATGAGATTTATGGATGAAAAAACCTCATTGTATTTTCAAAATTTTGTATTTCCGTATGTTTTTTTAATGTTCCGCGTTGAACAATTGGTGTTCATAAGATTTAAAAATATGGTCTTATTATGGCTTAAACATAAAGTCTTAGAAAATCATCATTATCATGTTAGTGAATTATTATAATATATACAAGAATATATAGGTTTATGTATTACTTACAAACAATGGGAGTTCGGACTTCATCACGGGTTTATCACACAAAATCTTCGTATAAAGTACATTCACGGACAAAATTTGGGTCAAAGCAAGCATCGAGCGTATTACATTCCCGATTTGAATTTCGAAAAGAAACTATTTAGGCGTCAACTGTAAAAAGTAGCGACAGTTGCCAAATGACGTCATCACGTTTGGAAACAATGTGTGTGGTGTTTATACTATTGAAAATAATGAATGTCACATTGTCGTCAATAAATTAAAAAGAAATGAAAGTAAGCTATCAGACACGTGTTTTCTAAACGTAATTATCTTATACTGTATAAAATCATTATCAATTAGTTAATGGATATACATAATATCTTTATCCTGACACGTAAACAATAGAGCACACAGAATGATTGTGTGTCTTGGATTTATGGAAAAGATACGGTTTTTATTGTAATGCATCTAAAACAATATATGTACATCTAACACGATATAATACTAAAAGTAAAAATGTTCGCGTATTTTTTAGAAAAAAAAATTCTCGCAATATTGTTTCAATTAGGACATAAATTGTAGCTGATAAAAAAAACTCTGGAGTATTTGTTATCTATATCGTAAGTAGAACGTACTAAACATGTAATTATATTAATTTTTTGTCATTGCCCTTGATAATGTAACGTAATATGTATTATTATATTTAGTTCCATTTTAACAAAATCAAGTTTAAATTTAAAGAAAAAATGTATCAAAACTAGATTTTCAATGTTTTGAAAACAAACAAATGAAATGTCAAAATGTGATCATATCTTTTAGACTAAAATACATTTTACTTATCTTAAACTATGATCGCATTTTTTAAATCCGAATATTTTTATTGATCCGTATATTTCAATTATGATAAAAAAATTACTATTCATTCTCCTATCAACAATATTTTTACTAATTATTGTGATACTTAGTTATTTTAAACACGCGTACACACGTGTACATAGAGTTCATAAATTCAGTTCAAATTATAAGAAAATAAATTCAAACTTTAAATACAGTGAAAGTCGTGTTACCGTTATTGTAATGAAGAAATAAGTAAAATAATATACAAAATACTCTTTGAACGGATCTCTATCTCAGCAGAGGCTGACCTTTATCAATGAAGGGATTAGCAATATTCCTATTATTTTTATTAGAGATATAGGCGTACCTCACAGTTAGTCACAGCAACAAGTTCAGGGTCGAAACCCACACTATTGCACAAAATCAAACAATACTAAACTTTGTAAACAACACTTCACACACACGCGGTATTGAAACAAGAACCCGTTCCAGAAAAAAAAATTGCAACCTAGACTGAATTAAGGTTCACTCGTACAACGCTCTCGTATAAGAAATTCTTTTTCACTTACACAAAAACTTCCCGTGAAAGTTATTACGATAAGAACATATCAATGAGGTTATATTATTGTTATTACTAGCGAATACGTCAGCTCGTATCAGTCGTCGCTTTATTACTGAACGAAGTTGAACTGAACTACGAACGAGTTCTAAACGTCTAGTGAGTCTTACGTATTTTGCGCGATGCTAATCGTTTGCGACTTGCGAGTTAATGCACGGGTGGATAGTAGGTAATTCATTATAGCGTTATGCTCAATCTATCAAATTGTCATACTAAAATGTCATATGCGACCTTCATTGTATACGGAAAATATAATATCCAACTAAAAAAAGAAATCAACAACTTTGTCTTATTCCCATTAAATTACTAATTTACAAAAAAAAAAAGAAAATGGTTTTACATAAATTGTGTATTTTGTTTGTGTACTATTATTGTTAAAACAGACAATGATTTTGTAGGCGTCTTTTTGTTTTGGAGCAGGATAAGGATAGTTTTCTTAGAAGTACCTGAGAACTTAAACCGATGGATACTTGGATATTATAGAAATCAAAAGGCGAGCCATGTTCTTCGTAATGGCCACCATATAAAGAGGAACTAAGCCTATTACTTTCATTTCACAGCAGTATTTAGGTGGCATAGAGTCGCGTTGTCCAATATCGGCTATATCACGTTTAGAAAACTCATGTCTAGACTTTTCAGCAAGGGGGTGTCTGGAAAAGTGGTTATAACTTTTTTCTTGAAAAAGCTCTTGCCACAGCATACTGGCATTGGATAGAAGGTCGTGCCAGTGCCGAATCCCCGGTGTCTCAATGGATTAGGACAAAGGAACCGATAGTTTGTGTCTTCGCCAGGCGATCTGTTTACCGTAAGTAACGATTTGCCCACACCTCGAACAGTGAACAGTCAGGAGGCTTGTAACTCTATCGTTTCCGCTTATGCAGGTACTGCCGAGACATGTGCCAGGCCCGCTACAGAGATTTTTTGACAATACCTGCAAAAAATCTCTGTAGCGGGCCGAAAGATTCCGCTCCTCTAGAGGAGTATATAGCCTGATACGGTCTGCACCGTGATCTAGTCGCCGTGGTTGGCAGCAAGTTTTCGCTAGTAGCTGTCATACCAAAGATGCTTGAGAACGAGACAACTAGACTTGCCATATCCTTCTTCTATGAGCAAGTCATCACTGCAAAGGAGGCCGTGGAGCGGGGAAAGTAGACTACTAAGCTGATTAGCTCCTTTAAGGTAGACCGATTAGATGGCGGCGGGATTGTACCCTCCTCTTTCTAGCCTAGTTTGTTGCGTCCGCACGAGAGAGTTTAGGAACATCATTTCGCCTATCTAAGGCCTATGTTATAAGCGCTCTTATGGGAGGGTTGGGAAATTGAGTCCGAGCATCACGGTCAAATGTGTAAACAACCCCATGGAGAACTGCCGAGATATGAAGGTTACAGATGGGGTTTCTTGAGTAGTTTCAGGCTTATCCCAGGCAGTAAAAAAAATCTCTCATGAAATGTCGTCCAACTTTTCATAATGTATTTGCTCTGCGCTCTTCGAAAATTTATATACGAGATTTCAACGATACATAATTGAAAATACAGTTTTTCATATTTTACATTTTATACAGGGTGACTGGTGAATTACTATCAATATTTAAGGAGAATACTCGGTACATGATTCTCATTCGAATTATGTAAAAAAATAGGTGCTTAATTTTAGACCAAATTTCCGTATAAATAAGTAAAGTGTGGACACGTTCCAAGTGTTCCAAGTGTGGACGCGTGCGGCGGCGTGCTGATACAACACCACGCCGCCGCACGCGTGTGTGTGTATACCTAATCTGTGGGGTGTTCACACGATGCGTAATTAATTACATAACTTTTGGTTAACTTTACTTAGAAGTTTATTAATATTTATGTTATATTAATTTTTATTTTGTCATATATGATCGTCAAATATCACGTCCTCGAGTATCGATAGTAATTCACCAGTCACCCTGTATATTCTACCTACCACTTTTTCAAAACTTTTATAGTACGCTTTTTTAGAACTGTTGGTCTACAAATAAAAAGTCAGTGTAAAAGACATTTGCTCTCTCATGGTTCACATAGCAATTAATTCTTATGACATCTATTTATATAATTTAAAAAAAATAGTCTCTGCAAACATTGTGTCTTTTTGACTTATTAGTGCAAAAAGGTCATATTTATAATTTACTATTGAATATATCTGAGCAATCTTAATATTTTCAAACGTAGTTGGAACCTCTCCTTATATTACTGAAATATTGTTTCAAGAGCCCGCTTCTTACAGTGCAACTGCACTTGATTGAAGTAGAACAACAGCTCTCAAATAGTTTTCATAGATGACCAGCACTGCCCCTGCGAATTATTTATTGTTGAAAATTTGAAATAGTTTTATATGAAATGAAATATTTTTAAAATGAAATATGAAATGATTGTAGAAATATTTTTAAAAATATTTTGACGAATCTGAAAAATCTTTATCAGAGAGAAATGTTTAAAATACTGTGTTAAAACAATAAATATAGCAGCTATTTGACAGTGACATGACGTCATACAAAATACAACGGTAATGCTATGATCCTGCGGTAACATTATAAAATATTCGGGATAGATTGTATCCTACATCATATTTGATATCTAAACTATATATCTATAATGTTTAATGAAAACCTACGGGGTGGTTTTTCATGATAGAGCAACAAACATCGACACATCCTTTCATCCTCACAAATAATTAATTAGTGGAATAATTCTTCCGACGTGATTGACGTATTTAAAATTTAAGGTAGATAATTGGAAGTATACTTTGAGACTATAAACTTTGAGATAGATACTGATTTCGCAAAAACAGGTTAATTAACCCTTTTATTCAAATGATTATTCTACATTATTCATTTATTTATTTAATTTTTTTGTAGACAAAATTCACTGACATACTTAGTTGTCTAATACTTACTTTAAAAGATGTGAATTAAATTAATAAAATTGTTTTTTTTTTGTCTGGCTCTATTCACAAAATATTAAATTCGTAATAGGGCAACTTTATGATTATGATATGGCAACTGGCTAAAAAGAACTCATATAACATTTACAAAAAAAAGATATGGCAACTTTATGATTCATTCCGTTGATAAACGTCATTGTCGACGGCTATTTTTGGCAAAGTGTCAATGTCATCATTGTTTACAGTTTAAAGTTTAAATATTCTTCCGTTACAAGAAGTTTTAATCTTAGTCAAGTTAAAAAGGTTTAAAATAATTTAAAAGAATGATTAAACTACCACCTTGGACTGGTGGAACAGATGAGGAGTATGAAACACAATACTTTGGTTTTGGAGCCCAAAGGCTTAAAATTGCAGTGCGTCAAATGGTCGAACAGAAAATTAGGACAGGAGTAAAAGATATGGAGTCTTATTTACAAGAATCTTTAGATCTAAATGACAAGGATAAGTTAACATTAACACATTCTTGTGACAAACTTATACGATTGTACTGTGAAGGGGCTGGACCGTCTTTGGATATAATTGACGAGGAGATAGAACGAGTAATAAATATACCTCACTATGTTCTCCTACCGGAAGATGAAGTTCAGCTTGAGCAAGTGTCTGACGATGATTATGAAAGGTTGAAGGAAGAGGTCGCAACTTTAAGAAAAAGAGTAGAAAGAGGAGCTCTTATAGAAGCATTACTTACAGCAGAGGAAGAGGAATTATCGTCAGCAGAAAAGGTATGTGAGATTGCTAAAAAGGACATGGAAGTGCTAGATTTATTGCAGAAAAAGTTAGAGACTAGTGGTAGTACTAAAACTATACAGAGTGAAGTCAATTTTCTGTCTTCTAATGTACCCTTTATTCAAGATAAAGATCCAAAAGACATATTTGAAGAATAATATATTTTGTATGTATAATTTGCTTAAATATTGCTCGTTATATATTGTCCTGTATTCTATACTTGCTGATGATATAAAATGTATAAGGTATAAGGTAAATAAAACAATAAGAAAACAGATATTGTTTTTATGTAAAAACACAACTTACAGAATTATCATCTATCATTAATATCGGAAACAACAGTGTCACATTTATTTACTTCCCAATAACATTGACTGCTAATATTGTAATACTCGCGAATAAACTATACATTAACAAACAGACATTATGTAGTCTTGGCACAATATATCTTAAAATTCACATTCATATAGTACATTTATAATCTAATAACTTAATATTAAACCAACTTATCTATGTCTTATTTGATATCACATTGAGGCTTAAACTACAAAAAATTCTATGAATAAGCTTGGCCTAGCCAAAAGGTATGGCACTAACAATAACAATAACATGTCATATATTTGACTCTTAATGTTTTTATATAACTACTTACATAAAGACATTTAATGGTTTACATTTACAAAAAACCTATTTAATACTATGGGACTCTATGATGTTAAATTTTAACCTTAAGCCACTGAATTATACAATCAAAGTGTTTTTAAGGGTCTGATAAAAAAATTGTTCAAAGTTCTAAGACAATATAAAATTTGAGATGACCACATATAATATCTAATCTAATAATCTTTTTTTGTTTGCATGTTTAATATTTTTTTAGTAAATATATTCTCGAAGCGACTTTAGTATCTAAAACCATAAGGTGTAATAGAAATACCATTATTGGAAGTTTTTCAAGTACTTCACTTTATAACAATAGTTTTCTTACAAGATATTTATTTCCATTAAACGTTATGATGGTGACAATTTTAAATGAGAATTCTTATTTGTCTCTAGACATTGTTAAAATCTAACATCATTTTTGTAAATTTAAAAAATTATAAATGAAGTAAATAGTTCTGAGGTAAAATCTGATTTTCAATATAAGATTCTTATTAATTATATATTATAATACAATGACGTATGTGGCTTGATTTCTTTACATGAGAACAAACATGGTATGTTGTCATATAAGATGCCAACAAATGTTTACATGTCATTTACCTACAACTTTTTAGAATTGATGCTTTGTTATTTGTTTTATATTTACAAATTATATCCTATATTATGATCACAACAATTAATTAAACAACAATATCAGATGTAAGAAAATTATACTAAAAATAAAATATTAAAGAAACTATCACATACATTGTACAATATAGAATTGATATATATTTTTTATAACTTTTAATTTCTTACTTTTCACATAATATGTGTAAGTTTTATTGTCTGAACCGTGATTTATGCACATTGTTCAAAATATACTACATTTTTATCCTATACAAATATATTACGAAGAATAATAAAATATAAGTAAACACACTCTACTCTCATTAAAAATTAATAATTATTTCAGAATATTGAATAAACAAAATATTAAATAACAAGACATATTCAAAATACTTAAGAATATTGTACGCAATAAAGTTTTATTAAAAATATGTTTTTTATTCTTTGATAATTTCTAAGTAGCTGCCTGATGCTAATCGGTTTCTGATTTATGCAACAAGGACTAGTACTAGATAGGTATTTACTATATTTTAATCTCTCTAAAACACATTGCTACATCTTAAAACTTCATCAATGGACATATGAGTATGTAATGAATTCTATTTATGAAGAGTTCATTTCGTCTACCATTTGAAAGCTACTTTATTTTCACACACATGTTCGTCTATTTTCTTAAATAAAATATTCTAACACATAGTTCAAATAAACAATAAAAATGCAGACTAGAAACATGCTCATAACATTTCTACACTTATATAATATAATATTTTCCCTTCAGTTCTTGTCCAAATACAGACAATGTTTTTTTTTACCCACATATTTAAAACCCTAATATGAAGAGTTTATTATGTCTCGGTGGAAGTGAATTTACAACTAGCTAAATTAATAGTACATCAATAAGAATTCGAAATTCTTCATTATTAAATTAAAACAGTTAAAATCGTAAAATACAACATCATTAGAGTTAGGTAGGTATTTATAGTTTATATATCTGTAATGTATGGATAGTGAAATATTCAATAATAATGATTCTACTTACATTATAAGTGGTATGTTATAAATAAAATGTTCTCCTTAGATTTATTTTTTTGCTGCTCTGATATGATTCGTCAGTTTTTGTACCCTTTGGATATTTTGCAGTTAAACTGTTACAAACTATGGACTAGACTCCAATAGATGGGCTATATGGCTTTAACAATGAATTACTGAAAATAACTGACATCAATTGTACCTAGAATATGATAGACAAACAAAGAGATTTAGGTTAAATTTAGATCATGGTGTGATGGTTTTTATGTATTTGAATATAGCAATTATAAACTAATAATATCCTAAAAGAGATTGTAGCATAGAAATCAACAGGTACATCCTGAATTTTACATTCCTATTTTCTTCAAGAGTTTATTGCACACCTCCAGTTAATATAACAGAGTATATTTTACATACAACACATGTGAAACACTTAAACAGAACTATTTTTCTAAAATCTTATAATTAAAATCTTTTAAAAATATTCAATAGGTTTTATACTACTCCCATATACACGTATATTTAAAAGATCTGACTTAAACTATAAAGAAATATGTAAGTAGCAAGGCATAATTCCAAATTAGAAATACGTTTTGGAAATAACGTAATTTATTTTACCGTCACCAAAGTATAAACGAGATTTGAGAATATATAAAATGTTCTTCATAAAGTTCGAGAGCGTTTATAAGCAACAGCAGCATGATGCCGGATCCCATTTTATGATTTTACTGATGTCATTTAGCAAGCACTGTAATGCGGCGTATTGCACAAATGCCAGGTTTTAAGCATTAAAACTTAACGTCACAAAAAAGAGGGGCAAAATAAAATATGCAGTGGTTTTGTATTATTGCTAAACAATTTTAAGGAACGTGCTGCTCATGAATATTTGTTTGATGATGGGATAGTGTGAGTTTTTTATAAAGAATTTCCTACATTCGTTTTCATACAATTTTCCCCGGATTTTACTATCAGTACAGACAAAATAGTGGAATTCAGATAAATAATCAAGTAGAGTAAAGATTTGTAAAACTCATCCAAAACACCTGCTGTAGAATAAACATGACAACCATAAAGTATTTAGTCAAAGTAATAAAGTTTAGTGGGTTATAATAAAATTAAATTTAGCGCGCATTACAAACCATCGAGAAAAATAGTCATATGTAAAGAGTCAGACGAAGGCTGGTGGTCTTTCGTCTATCGTGGTGACAACTCGCTTTCCCGCTGGACCCGGCCAGTGCCAGTCACTGTCGCTCAACGCCACCAGTCACACTGGACCTGACCAATCAGTATTCTCCTAGAAAAATTAATAATGTATTTTTTATAATGAAGATGAAGTATCTTCTCCACTAAAATGCCTCATATTAGACAAAAACAAGACATAGTAGGGTTGCAAAAGATGCTATGACATTATATTGGATTCAATGTTTCGTAAGTATTGTAATTGAAATTCATACTTGTGAAATATTAATAGCCTTAGAATGCATAGGGCTTTGAGGTGCCCCGCTAGTTGTGAAGTAGCCACCTGGTCTCGGTCGCAGATGTCGGTTGTGCATCTCCATTTGGACTATCTTCATAAATTCAATTTGTGCTGCCAGCTTTTGAACTTCTTCCTGTAAAGGAATAAACAAAATTTTTGAATACATTTATTACTTCATTTTGCGATCTAATTGTTCACTTTTCTTTCTATTTGTATGATTTATTTTATCTACCCTAAAGAAATCGTGTGAAATTATTTAAAATATGTACTCAAATATTAAGGAAATATAAAACTCCAATTTGTCGCTCCCATTAATTGAAATAAACGCTTTTTTTTCCATTTATTTCTAGCTTTCTACTAGGGAAATCAAAAGCTGTAGGTGGATAATAGGGTGATTTAAAATTATAGAATTCGGGGAGCTCCTATCTTAAATTGATGAAACCTAAAATCTTAAATTCATACTGAAATTGCAGGATTTTTTTACTTAGACAAAATAGACTATTGTTGGGTGCACATAGTATTGTATTTAAATTAAATTAAATGAGCACCTTAAGCTCCTCATTTTCCTGATACAAATCTGGCGGATCATCCGGCACGAGTCCGATGCCGTTGAGTGACGAGGAGGCTGGCACTCCTCGAGCACGTGCCCTGCTGTCCCACGTGTCACCCGTGCCACGAACCACGCGTAGTACCTGACGATACAACACTATAGAGTCACATCTGCTTCGCATAGCTTTATGAGCAGTAAAGTAAATAATAATATATTAATTTATAAGGATGGTTTTTGGATCTGCAGTTATTCTTTAGATTTCACCTCATTTTTTTATTGCCACTAGTAACAGAGGTCATACTCTTCATCTACAAACATCGCACTTTAAATTATAACTAAGGCGGCTCCGGTTTTGGCTACTACCTACCACTATAGGCAAATCAGGTAACTGAGTCATTGCCTCGTGTTATATCGTAACCGCGAGCCCATGTTTCGAAGCCATTTTATAGTATAATTAATTTAATACTTACTTTAGGTAGAAATACTAGTAAAACAGTGGTTGACGTTGAGAGTTGAGTACGTATGAAGCCTAGCAGGTACTTTATATCAGGACCAGCTCTTGGTAAAATCAATAAACTGAAACAATCAGAAAGCTTTTAGTATATTAAACTTTAAACAGTTTAAATCATTCCTTATAAATTATTTCAAAGAATTTTTGTGTTTTAACTTTCGAAAATGAACCATGAGAAAATATAAACCTAGTAGATTTAGGGTATTTTTTATATAAATTGTTCAATGGAACTCATTTTCTGCATTCAAACACGGAGAGTGTCTGGAAAACCTGAACTATTCGAAAACTTTTCCAAAGCCTAGACATAATATAGCTACTGATAAAACAAAGAGATAGTTAAGTTTAAACGTACCATTAAATATAAAGGCTTAGTTATATTTAATTATTTTCTTTACTGATTTTCTCTTATCACTAGTAATCAATCAAATTATTATAATAAAAATTACGTTATGATAATTGTCAAACATCATTCTTTATACTCACTGGAAAGCTATCATAAGTGAATTGACCGTGAATATGTTGTAAATGGCGATAGATATGAGCCTCGCTTCATTGTAGAGACTTTCTGCATGTCGGACGCGATAACATACACGAACGCCCCATAGAAGAAATAGAATTTCTCCTGAAAGATAAAGTAAGGTAATTACTTAATATAAATATTCTATACTCAAACCTGTGAAAGTACTAATATGTGAGTATATGTTATTTACTCATTCACAGTCAAACGACTAACCTGATTGGTTACATTTTGTATTTGTATAGAGGTAGATAACGACTAAAAGGTATATAAAAAGTTCTTAGTATAAAATTTATACAGTGTATACAATTACCGATAGCTAAACTGTGGTCCCACCAATTATATGTACACTGTTTGAATTTCAGCCCTCTATTATCTGTTATCTGAAAAGTAAAAAGACTTTAAGTAGCATATATATGTAATGGTAATAACATTTCGCCAGTTTGTTTCTTGTTTTCAATTAAAGAAAACATTACGAAGATTTGAAGACATGCTAAATTAGCTCTGGGAATTTAGTATAGTAATTATTTATAATATTATTAGGATGTATTTGTACTAGTCTTATAATTTTGCTTACAACTTCAGCGTCTGGAGGCGCAGAGAGTGTCCAAGTGCCGAGATACACAAGCATGATGAGTATAATGGGAGCCATCCATTGCAATAATTGTTTGTCCGTCAGTTTCAATTTGTGTGCAGACTTTACGCGGAACGTGAGAGATACTCTGTAATACAGATATTTGTAGATATAGGTATACCTACAATGTTTTATGTTCCATCTATATAAAATGTCTTACCGCCAGGTTTTCATGAGTAGCGCAGTGTAGGTGATGCAGAAGCCCATGTGTCGAGTCCATTTTGTTGCGATGCATGAATATCGGTCCAGTACAGGAAATATGGCAGCCATCTGAAAATACAAAAGAATTTATCTTTTAATTTTTTGATTTTGATTTGAGAGTTATCAAGATTCGATTACAAATATCTTTTTTCTTCATTTCAATTTCCCAGCTTTAGCCAGGGTCTGACTTACATGTTGTAAATACTTTACAATACTTCGATAACAAATATATATGTATGTAAATATATGTGCATAGTGTAATTAATTAGCTATAAACCTCCATATACATGATGGCGCATCCAAGTAACGTGATTGATAGAAATACAGGACTGGCTACACGGAACACCTTCACACGTCGGTGATGACGCGTGTAGATCACCAACACGACTGTCATCACCGCGCAGCTTACAGATATCACCAACAGAGATATCCTGGAATATACATTGTTAAAACATATCACATAATATGTAAGATAATCTTAAATGTTTATGAATAAAATAAACTGTTAGCGCCTGTTTAATTTATAAAAGCAATTGTTAACAACAATAAATTTGATACATTTTACTTATTCATTATCGCTTAAGTACTTTTCGATATATATTTAGCGTAATGTACATGCTATTATCGCTATCCAGGAAGATTTATCTTTTCTCTTTTTCTTCGAAAACACTTTATTTACAAACTGGTTTAAAGTACAAAGCAAAACAATCGACAACGTTTATGTTTTGAAAGAAAAGTTATTACGTTAGTGATGTTTATACATACCATAACATGGTACTTTTTATGTGTAGTTTGATTGATCGTAATTCCTTGACATAAATACACTGTTCATAGTTAGAAGCTATAATATACAATTTCAAAATATCGTTCATTATCAAATGTCTGTTTGAATTTCAAACTTGTGAGTTTTGAGGAGAAAATATAATAAACAATATAATTTTCGTAATCCAAAGTTGGAAAAGATTAATAGTCAAAAACAAAGAAAGCTATTTACCGAAAAGGCCAGTTATAAGTGGCAAGACAAGGCTCCGGCCCACGGCAGGTCTCACAGCCAGGCTGACATTTCAGACATTCGTATGGTTCGTTCCAGTTTTCTAAGCCATTTTCTTCGTATTCTTGATATGCCACTGTCAAAAAAGAGCACAAATGTTAAGAAGAAAGCAAGTTAATATTTGAAGTGAAACTTCCAATGCGACTTCTAACCAAGTTGCGTTAAACATTCAACGCTCCTGGGGAGGGATAATAAAAATAGAAAGAGCGAGAGTAAATGGTTTGGTCGATTGCGAATTGTTAGCAATGTTTATACCTAAAGTTAGTATATAAGAAACAATATGAGTACACTTAAATTAATTTCTTCCTCTTCCTATTTTCCTTTCCATATTACGAAGTTTCACTTCTTCCACTTGAAAGGACTTCACACATACTTTTTTTTAATAATTTTAATTTTCATATTCAGTACAAAGTTCACCTTCAACAAGAGATCCATTAAAACCATCGGGGTGATGCATGGAATAAAAACCAGGACGGCATTTGCAAATGTAGGAGCCGCGAGCCCAGCCAGGAAAACGTACACTTATCTCTCTATTGGGTCTGTAGTCACACTGAAATAAAAATAATCCTTATAGCATTAAAATAAATGTTAGAAATATGAGCCAATATCAATAATATGAAGGATTTATCACCTATACATAAAAAAGAACAAAGTTTTCTTGACTTTACGCTAATAAAATTGACGTATGTGGTTTAATATTATTATAAGAAATAGAATTAGTTTCTGACCTAGCATTTAAATCCGAATGAAATGAAGGTATCTTGAAATTTTCTATCATCTCGGTATGAATGTTTAAATACCCTAACTTATTTAAATTTACCTACAATAGGTTTGATACCAACTTTCCTAAGCTTCATCAAATACAGCTTAACAAAAACATGTAGAATATCTGTGTTCTAATTTGAATTACAATAGTAATTATTGTGTTGGAAATCCATTAAACTATAATTGTAATAAGCTTGCTCATAGTCAAAACTACATAGAAATTCGTACAGAATCATACAAAGGAAGTATTATTGCTAATAGAAATCTGATATACAACCTTCGGTAAAAGGAAATATAGACAATAGACAAATAAGTAAATATATTTCCCAAAGTATATATGGAGGTACATTAGTATACAGTATAATTTAGTATACTAATAATAATTTAATATTTAAATGTATGTATATATTTAATATACATACTAATAATAATTTAATATATAAAGGATAGTCATTTTCCTATTAACTTTTAATACGATTGGACATCAGTTCTTTTGATTTATATGTAGTAAAATATTTCCAAACCAGATAACTGAATTCTAGGCCGTGGTTATCTTACGAGGTTTCAGACGAGGAAGGTGATGACGATTATGGGTTTTGCATTACTTTTACCAAAATAACTATCGAACCTTTTTGAAATGTTTTAACATGCGTATCTAATTATTACTAAAGTAAATTATTAGAAAAGTAAGGAATAATGTTTTAGAGACCTAGCACTATTTACAGTTTTAAATGAAATATTATGAATATATCCTTGTATATAAATGTGCGTATATTTACGCAGCAAATTTTATGTCAAATACATAACAACTATATAAGAAAATATTTGGTATAAGTCTTAAATTAAATAAAAGTATTGTTTTACTTACATATGTTGTTTCATTCGGACATTTATGTGTTCCATGAAAAGAATAAATTTGGTTGTCATTGTCCTCATTATTTTCCACTTCACACTGATTTATCTCGAGATTAGAGATATCAATGTCTAACGAAACAACGCCCTTTAATCTGAAATGGGGAATTAATGTCACGCTATCATGTAATGGAAATCTGTTCCTAAGTCTTATCGCAATGTTGAAGTTTATTTTCCGTTCATTTAGTTCTTCGAAGCAGTTTGCTTAATGTCAACTAACTTTAGTTCAAAGTAAGTTTTCCATTACTGCACCCAGCATCATAGTTAGAAACTAGGTTAACATAGTGTCTTTAAACAAAAAAATAAACATGAACAAAACTTTGCCCCCAGGATAGTATTAAGAATTTACTAAATGTTGATTTCTTATTCACAATCTACTGCTACTACTATTTTTTTTTACAAAAAATACATTTTTAAAACTTACAAAATATACATAATATTTAACTATTTTACGGTCAAGACTAAATAATTAGGTGTCGTTTCAAGTATAAAACTAATAAAATAAACAAAACTAAGTAAATTCATATTTTCGATATGTAATTAATCATATTTTTTTTATATTAGTACGAACTTTAAGTTTTTTATGTTAATTTTTCTATATTGGTAACTGCATTCAAAGTAATCTTCTTTAAATTTATCTACATAGAGATATCCATTACTTAGAAAATCCTCGTTTATAATGAAGGCAATTAAATCGAAGGCTTTAAATGAAATTTCTCCACTTTCAAAGCGAGGAAATATTATTTGAAGCTAAATTTGTTGCTGAAATTACAATTGTCGAAATGAAATTTTAGCTGTTTGTTATAAACGACCGTCAATTCAGTTCAATTTCCAAACAATGGTTAAAGGTAAATATATTAAACAGTGTTTATTTGCTTCTAATATTATAAACGTGAAAGTTTATCTGGAAGGATGAATGAATGAAAATGCGTATGAATGTTTATAGATACTTTACTCTTAAGCAAAAGTTACGAAATAGCTTGGAATCTACCTCATAATTATTATAACACATAAATAAAATAATGTATAGGCTTCAATTTGTTCTCAAACAAAAACATAGAAGAATTGTATTTTGCGTGAAACTTTATTATATATGGCCGTCGATTGTTTACAGTACCCTTTTTTTAAAGCACACATTATTCATTTTCTCTAAAACCTACTCAGAAGTTCACCCGAATATCTTCGCAGACAAACGATAGCCCTTTTTTATAAACTCAGCCTCATAGCAATTGTACGTAAGAATCTTATACATATTAAATAGTGATCGCCAAAGAAACAGAACCGATGAATAATTCAAGCTTACCCTCGTATTGTTGATACAGGAACAGTATAAGATAGCAGCCATCGTTTAGCTCCACAACTATAGTAAGGGAAGGTCCACCATCCTTCCATAGCGGCACCTGGAGGGGAGGGCATGAACTTTGGCGACCTTAAAGATTCGGTGTCTTCAGCAGAGACGTACCTAGAATAAAAATGGTACAAATGAATGCTATACCTGAGTTTGGAATAAATTAATGTAATGTTCCTTTTTATTTGTGGGTAATACTACTTTAGTCGATTCAATTTTAAGTATCAATGTATTACCAAGGATAATCAGAATCAGGTGGTTTCTCCAGTTGTGGGGACACGACCGCCACTGGTTCAGCAGCACCATATCTCTCCCATGCCACTGCACTATTTACGACCCCGTCAGATCTTAACGCTAGAGCTCTGGCCCCAACTGCCCGCTCTGAATTGCTGGCTCCCATGACTAAACCTTGAGATACCGCCATAAGCACTTCTAAAAAAATATTCAATATAAGCAAAGCACATCTTCAAAGTAAGACGTTAAGTAACAAAAAATTGAACAGTAAGAAATTAACATTAATTGTAATATTAACGAGTATTATACACAATAATTTTTTTTACATCTTAGAAAATAGTTTGAATAATAAAGATGAGTTTTTGTAAATATTAAAGAGTGTGAAAAATAATTTTGTTTTTTATAGCCATCTCTGAGAATTTTCGGATTAATTGGTCATATAAAGCAATGCGCGTTCGTCCAAATGACCTACTTGATTATAATGCTTATGGAGTGTGAGTTTTAGAGGGAAAATTTCGAAGAGATAAAGAATATTCTGAATCCATGTGACGATATTTGCAAAATGTATAACACGAACCAATTTAATGGCTTCATAAATTCTGCAATTGTAGCAGAATGGTCACTGAACCGTTCTATCTGTTTCAGTCCAACTTAGTAACAATTCTGTTGCAATTTCTGAACAATCACGACTATAAATTGAAATACAAAGCAAATAAATTAACAGACCACCTAACAACGTTCATTAATTTAACTATTTGATTGGTTTACACCACAAGTTTATTGCTGAAGTTACTTTTAGTGAATCTATTTGAATGTGTGAAATTCAAACAATATACAGGAATTTAATGTGTTTGATTGATATAGACTTTAGTCTCTATGTTTTCTAATATGTATTTAAATTAATTCAGATATTCATTTTGTCATTTTATTTGAAATTCAATGTAAAATGTAAAATTCAAGCATTTTTATAACTTCTAGATATATTTGATTCAAATCAATATAACCTTTTAAGGTAATATACGCAATTCCTAGATCATGTGTGAAATTTCTGTAGCCGTCGGTTGCTGGCGATGAGATTTTTGATAGAAAAATCAGTATCTTTAAATGTTATTATTGAGCAAGCATTTAAAAAGATATTATAAAATACCTCTGTAATATCTGCAATATGTGATTTTATAAAATAAATTTAGTTATTATATAATATTCCATTGAAATTTTTCATCAAAATTGTGGCTCTTAGAAGTAATGATCATATTTCAGGGTTTGCTTTTTTCCAAAAATGTGCCATGTTAATAAAGAATTTTGTTTCTTCCAAAAGAAATAAAAGTGAAAGAGTCATAAATAAACAAATAGAAATAGTAATTGAGAGAGCTATTCTGTACGTTAAAAAATATCTATCAAAAAATATCCGATGTGTTTTGACAAAGTAATAACGGGTTAGTGCAATTTATATTCCCTCGCTTTATTTACCTTAGATATTGAAGATGGAGGTAAGTGTATTATAAGTATGTGAAACTCGCAGCGTACTCAAAGCCTTATATGTTATAATAATTATATTTCATTCACCAGCTATGAACAAGTGAAGAACCACGTTAAAAGCCTTTGAGGCTAAGCTTTCATCTTGACATTAATAGCTTGGGTTATTGAGCTGACAGAGGCCGCATTTTAATTATATGCAAGGTAAATTTTTAGTGGGCGTCGATTATAGTTTTAATAAGGCAATAAACGAGGAGTCGATTGAAATTATGTTAATTGGCTGTTTATGGTCTATTAATACAGTTTTAATCTTTGAAGAGCCTTTTTTAAATAAAGTAATAAATAAGTACAGGTCATAACACAAGATGTACCAGTAACTACTCTACCTTTGTCCAGAGAAAAGAACTATCGACCTTTGAGATCTAGGATAAAACCAATTTTTTTATGTTTGAATAATAATATGAAATGATAGTGAAAATAATTTTTCCGGGAAATAACGTATGCCAGAAATTATATGTATGAAGATATACCTTTTCTCATCAGAAATATACATTTTGTAATTATAATAATTTGATACAATTTAGAATATAACCATTTTTGGGTCTTCAGTTTTAAAACTAAGACTTTATTAATTAGTTTTTTTTTAATAGCCAGCCAGTTTAACATACGTGCAATTAAATGGTACAATTTCTCAAAGTGGGTTAACCTATTTTCCAGTTAGTTGCAAATATATACAATCTTTCGTGTGTACATATTCAAATTAAAATATTTACGTACATAGGCACTAGATAAAAATATTCTGTCTTGGTTTCGTAACAGACAAGTAAAAAAGTTTTACTGAATTTGTCCAAAAATAGGTTTTACTTATCCTATCGTGATTCAATTATGTCAGACATATAAGAAATAGGTCTGTTTTAGTAGCAAAAAAAAAAAGAAATATATAGACGTATTATAAAAGTTCCCCTTTTCAAATTATTTATAATGATCCACTATAAATTACCTGTGTAAAAAAGTAAATGCATGGAACAATTTATTTTTATATACATATAACTAAAATTGTCTAAATAGAAAATAAACACATTTTATTATAAAAAATAAGGTATATTTCTTTTGCAAAATCCTATTATGATGCTAACTATATCAGCTCTAAGAATATCGTTTTGCGATATGAATATCACATGACAGGAACGCTTACCAATGCTATTATACTTGATTTGATGGATGAGATCTTCGTCAATATAATCAGCTATCGTGTGAATTAAATATGAATAAAAAAGACTTTATATTTAAAAATACAAAAATAGGGTTAAAAAAAACAATTGAACCTTTTTGTGGTTCGTGAGCATGATTAAAAAACAAAGGCTTCTCATGTTAATTTTAACTTAAACCTATGACCCTTTGAATAAAATAAATAATGTTTAGAATAATTATTTAAGTTTTTATGCATTCCTTAATTTTGGTATTATAGGCATAATTTTGGTATTATAGGCATAATTTTCAATGAACAGATAGTTACTGTAAATAGTTTAGTTAGATACATTTTCATAACGATATAAATTCGCTTTAAAATAAGTCAATTATAATGCATCGGTAAAAAAAGTAGTGTTTTCGTCACAAAATACATTTTTAATTAGTAAACCTCACACATATGACTTCATAAGAGTAAGTACGTTAACAGTTATATTCTTTGAAATTTTTTATTATATGAATGGGTAAATTTTTGTACGTCAAAAGCAAAATGAAAGCATTTATGAAGTATGTACCTACTCTGATATTTTATAAATTCCTTTGTCTACCATATTTTTAATACACTACATTTTTATTTCACAAAATCAATGCAGTGATGTTTTTCATACTTTCCGTTAAATTACTTTAAATGATGTTAGATTCGTTTCTAAATAAATCTAATCGTATTTAGGTACAGCTATAGGTGAGTTAAAAATTACAGCTTAAATCAATGATTTAGCCTCAATAGATGAGGGCTGGAAATCATTATTCCTAGCATTTTCTAACAGGTCATCTTACCAGCGGTTTCTAATCCCAGCTGTTGCAGAATATTAGCCGTGAGGTCCGCTCTGGCTCGTGCTGCGTCCCAGCGTGAGGTGTGCATGGGTGCTTTCAGCCTTCCGTAATGATGGGTGACGCACAATGCACCCGTAGCACCCGTCGCCACCGCGTGTACCAAACGCAGAGATGACTCCAATTCCTCCTAGATTGTATGCTCGTTATTAATCTCAAAGAATTAGTTATAAGCTATTTTAAAAGATATAGTAAGCCACCTCTTTTCACATCTATTATATACTGTCCTTAAGTACTTATTTGATATTTTGTAATGCTTTTATTAAGATACAATTATAATATAATTTTCAGAAAACGTTAATTTTTCTAAATGTTGTTTCACATTTCTATCCTAAAAAAATTGAATTTCCTGATGTTAGAACTGTTTGTTGTAATGAAATAGAAAAAAATCATTATTGTTGACACAAGTTTGTAGATAGCCATGAATGATACAAAAAAAAGTGGCGAGTAGTTAATAACGTATAAGTATTCTCTTCTGTCCAGTAAATATGTGCAGAGCCAATGACGTCAGTGTTATCAAAGTTAACACACACTTATCGACTACTTTGGATTCCTTGGCGAGAGAGCTCTTGGATATTTTGAAGAATACTCGTGTTATAGACCTTCTAAAGACTACGTGAACGCTTCTTAAATTATTTTTTTTAAGCTAAAGTTATTTTTAGACAATCTTTATATTTTGTAAAATTTGGAGGCTAAATTTCTTAAGAATTCAAGACTTTTTCTTGACAAATATTTCATTTTATGATTAGTTAAAATTTAACAAGTTCAAGTTATTCAGTACAGGATTATGTTTTATAATTTCTACTTGCATTTTTATTCATTTATTTAAAGCAATATTTTGACTAAGAGGTAATAAAATACTGCATTTATTTTAAGTTGCTACTACAATAATACTATTAAGATTAAAGTTCTAGAGCTCCACGTGAAACATCAATCGAATAATTAAGAAATAACTGATCATATTGGAATATAGATACTGTGCTTGAAATGCAAACTCCTTTAATTTCTAATATCTTTGTTTATTATTTAAGGCACCTCAAACACTATTAGTCTTGGTATGAAATCCTAGTTATGTTTATACATATTCCGAATACACCCTTTAGTTCTCCAGGTATAACTATCAATGACCAGATATAAATAATAATTATTAATATCACAAGTAGAAGTTAAAAATAAAATAGAAGAATTTTATGATAAGATCTAAAAATATTTAGCACTTAAGTGTGAAAAACAATAATAATAGAAAAAATCCAAATATAATAATTTTTATAAATCTGTATAATATTATACAATATCGTATTTCCTTTTAGACTTAATTTTGAAATCGTTGAAGATGTGTCACATGCAGACGTTGGATGCTTCTTTGTCACTAGCATCCGGGACTTAACGTTTCAAGTTATATAACAATAAATAGTCAACTTGTTTAAAGATTTTATTAAAAAATATATGAACAAGGTTTTTCCTGACAAATTAAACATAATTCTGTTAAGAAACATTTTGGATTCAGGTAAATTTAATGAAGCCTTTTCATTAAGCTGGCGTTAATTAAAAAGCACATTACGACTGCCAATGCTTTTGGTTCCTGTATATTTCATCAAGATATGAATCAGAAATGAACTTTTTCAAAACTTAATCCCATATTATAAAGGAAAAATCTTGCTCCATATTATCGAACGTGGTATTCTTGTGATGACGTTTATATTACTCACGTCACTGTTATTTTTATCGTGAACTACTACAATAACATTATAAAGATTACAAAGTGATCAGAAACTAATTAATAACCACTTTTCCAGCACTAATCTGTATGATATAGTAAACATTTGTTGAAGCGTAAACTGAGTCGAGTTTATTTCGTTTAAGTTGTTCTTATTTTTTTTTTTAACATTGGGTTAGTTATTTATATTTGTAAACATCTGAATATCAAAAAAAAATTAAAGCATTTAATAGTTCGCAGGATACTTTATTTTGTTAACTTTAAATTAATGGAAACATTTATTTTGTTTTCATTTACAAAAATATGAAATACAACTACCATTGATATTACTTTGTTTATTAATATGTCACAATAATTCAGTATAGAGCTATTGACTCGATAGCAGCTTTGGAAATGTTCCATCGAAAATTCGAAATGAAGAAAAAACGCTGGCATTCATCTGGAGCTATTAAAAAGTCATTTTCACTGGATGTTGTTCGCTTTTTAAGTTTTACACTCTACTTAATGAAAAACGCTTTCATTATTGTTTATATTTTACTTATATTAACGGTAAGTGTTAGCTCGGTACTAAACCACTAAACAGTCTCAGACATAAATATACATTTTAATGTGTGTTTGTTATTTCTATGTTATTTAAAAGTAGGCTTTAGACTATATTATTATAAGGCCCAAATTTACTTGTTCTTTACTATATTACTTACCCGGTAAGTGGTCGAATTGGTAGCATAGGCGTGTGGTAATGATAACAGAGTGATTGGCAGCAGCAGAGCACTTGCCACGCGCCGCGGCGCTCTCATCTCCGGCGAACATTCGCGCGAACACGCGCTCACCTTCAACAATGAATGTGACATATAAATTGTATTGTTGTATGATAATATGCATTATAAACTATATATAAAATTGTTCATTAATATAAAGCTGTAATACAACAATTATATTACCTTATTTTACTACGTCTAAGTTAACTAGTTTTAGTTTTTATTCTGTTAAAAAAATGTAAAAACATACTATGACAACAAATATATACATATATAAAATTCGAAGAATAGATTCACAGTGAATTTTATTTGTATGTAATTGTAATGAAAAGTTTTTACGCCGAAATATAAATTTAACTTGTTTTATGGATATGTAATTTATGTTGTAAAAATCTCTTGAAAAGCAAAACAGAGTGTAGGGTTATTCGACTATGCACGCCTTGTAATTTCGGTTTAAGCTTGGCTGAATTTCACGTAGGCTTTTTAACGTTGCGGAAAACAGCCAACTTATTTTCAACGCGAACGAGTTTATAACTACTTTGTAAGTACATACAGTCAAAGTTACATTTTTGCAATGAAATTTAATAAACTTTAAACAAACAGGGTTTCCTTTCTGTTACTTATTCGTCAAAACAATGAGTAGAACAACATTTTTAATCAAAGACAGAAAATATTCATGAGGGAATTTAAATAAGCTACATAATACATATGAAAATAATGTACAAGGTGAAAAATTCTGAGACTTTTTAGACCTTTTTTTATCCTTAAGACAAGAGTAGTAAGGAACTTGATGAAAATTTGTAAAGGGCGTATCGTCAGAAATAAGAATGGTAAAAATTTGCAAGATTTTTTTTTATTCATATACTCATTTTATATATGAATATTATTTAACTGTTAAGGTAAAATAATGGTAAATGTCGAGTTGAGTCTCAGTGTCTAGTATACTTTGTTATATATTAAACAAGTAGAGATCTTAATTGAACACTCGAGAGCCTTCAGTGAAGCCACATTAAGTCTATTATTCGCCTAACGTCTGCAGCATAAAGGACAAATACATGTAAAGTTCCTCTTAACTGTAACAAAATATATAAAACATCGAAATTTTATGAAGAATTAATTTTGCAGGAATTATTTTCTCGGTAGAAACTATATAATTTATTTTATTTTATTATTATGTTTTTATGATAAATTTTACATTATTATTTGTTGGACAACAATTTGTATGAGTTTTCTACATACATTTGTAGTGTGGAAGATTATTGACTATTGTAATGATGTCAAAAGCTTATATCGTTTAAGTTGTCATAAATGCGTGTTGGCAATGTTCTTGCTAGTGATAACACTCTAATTACCATCTAACAGTTTCATAGATACACTGACTAGAAGGCAGTATCACGGAAGTTGCAAGTTTGAAACTTGCTCGGTACCATCTTCGTGATTGCATCAAAGTAACGTACGTTCACATTATGAATGAATAACTGCAAATTCTTCGTATAAAATTTGACTAAACAGACTTGTAGTACTTACAAATCCTTTGGTAACAAAAACTTTCATCAACGTATATTTAAACCCTTTTAAATTTAATTATTAAAGTATTTATTTACTTTCAGGTCTTAAATAAAAGGATTTAATACTTCGGACGTTTTTATTTTGTAACGGCACATCAAAAGTAATTTGTTATTGTACAAGAGCGATAAAAATTCACAAATCTTGCTATTTTTTTAGTTTGCTGAAAATAATATTAGGTCAAAGTGGTGGGGGCAAGGCATTGTTTTAGGCAGCATTGTAAAATGGTTCACGATTTGACCAAATGGATGAAGATTTTTGATTTATGGTCATTGTTATGTCTTTTGTATTGTTTACGAATGGTTTCTTTCTTGTTTCTCAATCGACAGTTCCTGTTTTAAAAACCTTTTGTCAAATATAACAAATAATATTAGTATTGGATCATATTTAGAGTAAATATGAAGACGGTTTAATATCTAGAAGACGAAGTTTGTCGTCAGCACACAAGTACTTTGGCACACGGTACATGAACTAATGTTAGTTCATTTTCATAATTTTATCAGATTACAATGTCTTTGACGAGGCATTTTAAATATATAATGTAATAGGTCAAATAAGATTTTAAAGATAATTTATTTTTAGTATACATAATTTCGTTTAATCTTCGAGGAAAAAGTAGAAGATTAATTGTTATATATTCAATTAAATAATGGAAAATATTTAACAAACGGTAGCAGTTACACTTTTATTTAAAAAAGATGCCGTCTCTCGCTGTCACATTACAAATTCATATTGCCACAAAGAGTCTCTTGTGTTCAATTATCTCAATGGACCCTTAACTTTAAGAATTACTTTGCAACGTTAATTGATAATTAATATAAACGCTTTTAATTTTGATAATATCTTATTATGATTTTAATGTAATAGTTAAGATAACTTACGTTTTTTTTAATAACGATTTCAATCACATGCAGTGGTTATTAGATTGTATATAAAAATTTAAAATTCACTACACATATACAATTAACGATACTGAAAACTATGCAAATTAATATCAATATTCCTGTCGAAATATTCATCATAAAATTGTATGTATTGTATTATTAATATATGTATATTAAAAAACATTGTTTGAGAACTTTATTTTATTTAATACTAGCTGACCCGGCAGACTTCGTACTGCCTCAATCAAGAAATAAATTATGTCTTATTTATTTTTTTAGTGTTTACGTTTAAGCCATAAATAAATCTCCGTGTTCTGAAGTGCAACAAAATGATTGACATATTAGTTAGTTGTCAAATCTAATGTCAAAAAACCGTTTGTATGGGAAATAAAAAAGCGCTGTTTTTATGGTTTTCCCGGAAATTAATAAAAAAAAAATCAGCTTTTAAACCTTCCCTGAATCTCCACAAACATTTCAAGACTATGATAAGATAAATCCGTTCAGCTGTTCTCGAGTTTTAGCGAGACTAAGGGACAGCAATCCATTTTTATATACACATATAGATTTTGTTACGAAGTAATATTTAATAGAAGTAGTTTTTATATTATTTCTTAGTGGTTCAAAGGAAAGAATGAATTGTAATTAACTTTGTTCAAAGCCCAAACATGTTTCTATTTTTAAGAAGTATCAATACTAATTAAGAAGTTTACATCATATTGATTAAAATTTGTTTTAATAGTTTAGTCTAATTTCTTTATAGCAGTTATTCTGTTATTGATTTTGATTTTAATTAAAGTAAGTTGTATAACCAGTAAAATTGGCTAAAGCTGGGAAAAATTGCCAGGAAGAAGAAGAACAATCAGTAACATTATTAATTTTTATTCAACACAATAACATTTAAACACTTATTCAAAACAACGAATATTATTTAAGTGATTACGATGGCTGCAAGCTTAAAAATATCAAGTATTTAACATATAATCTGCTAAATATATCATCTATTTTACTTGTCCTCTACACTTATTATCATTTCTAGGAAGCAAAGAACTCTTTGTGAAAAATTCAAACTCATTATTCACAGTGAACGAAAATCTCATCAATTTTTTTTGTACAAAGCCTTAGGTTTTGAATACTCATTCGCGGCATACACCACGAGAGCATATAGAATATGTAAATACGTTCTGAAAAAAAATTACTTGCTGTTTGTTTTATGTTTTATGTTTTATAGAAAGTTTTTGATTTAACACTGAATTATGTTCTTCGGCAGACTTTATTTATTTATTGATTAAGTTTAATTATGCTTTAGTTCATACAAATAACCAAAAATCGAAACTATAGTGAATTACAATATTAAAAAAAAAGTATTCACCTATTTATAAAAAGTTTAGTTAACATTACATAAATTAAAATAAAATAAAAATGAGCAAACAAAACCTACTAGAGCACATAAATCCCATTACAGAGTCTTTGCCAATTAAACTATGATGCCCTAACTTTTCTCGGCAATAAATCTTCGGGTCTAATGGTCATAGATAGATAGATGTGGACTGCTAAATTAATCAATACTAGCAATGATTCTCCGCTATCTTATCAGTTGTCCACTCTTGTTTTCCTTTTTTCTAATACTTATTCCGTAAAGGTATAAAAGAGAAGTTAATATAACTCATAATACGAAAATATTACCTAATTTATATAAATACGTCATTATCTAATATGTAAACTACACAAACAAAGTAAATAATTTATTTCATTGCTCTTATATAAACGATTTTAAATAAAAATGGTTTAAGTGAGAAATAAAATTATTATTTGATACTTATAATTAAGTAATATAAATCAAAACTATAGATTTATAGTTTTAATAAAGTTTAATAGGGTAAACCAAATAAAACAAAGTCTTCTAATATTGTGTGAACACTACTACCAATTTTGAACGTCCATTGAAAAACCCCGTAATCAACATCCATCCAAGGCTTTCTGAAGATATTTGTTTACAAATGTCGATTGACGAGGAAAAAGGCGTGAAGTGGGGCGGTCAGATTGTATAGAATTCGGGAAAGTGTGCTCGAATCCGTAAACGTAAGGGTCAGACATTCTCTCAGAGAGTTTTCGACTTGTTTGGAAAACCGCTTCCAGAACATGAATAAACATTCGAAATCACAGCGCATTTTATTTGTTACATTGAACAAGTTCAATTCCTGTACTTTCCTTCATTGTTATGTCATTCAAAATAATTCTCAAGATCATTGATAGTTTAAATAGATGAAAATATATTAATTTCTGGCTCTCATGGTAATGCTTGTTACCTTATGTGTATATGAGCAGTGAGATAGGGAAGGACGTGATAGAGTTGTTAGTGATTTGACGCACACGAGATATGTGAGGACAAATAAATCTCCGGATAACCATCTCAAAATGCTTCTAATAAACAAATGTAATGAATAAATTGTAAACTTATAAGTATTAAAAAAGTTCAATATGAAATAGAAATATTAAAAATTTAAAAAAGTAGTTTATAGCTATTTTACTATTTAAAATAGAAATGTGAAAAAGTTTTAAATAAAAGTCTTGAAATATGTTTTAAAAATA